AGGTCCGAACTTTGTCACCGCCAACCAAATTTGGTGATAGGCAGCTTCGCTATCATCGGGCTTAAAATCACGCCTATCTTCTGTGATTTGCTACTCCGGGGCTTAAGATGCCGATTACCACAAGTGAACCGTAGATTCGCCAGACGATAAGGTCGACTCCTTCATCCCGTTAGTGCGTAATAAAAACCATTTGCAAACAACATTGGTGCTTGTCCGGGAGTTTCGAATGTGTTCCATGTGTTGCTACGTGCGCTTAATTGATTCGTTCAATGCAAATGCACTTCTTACGTTTTATCATATATATTTGGGAAGGCTGTTTTTTTAATTGCACACCTTAGTGTAATGAACAGCAGACAGAGCGAACGCCATAGTCACGAGGACCCGCTATTCAGTGACGGAAACCGGCAGCATAAGCCCCTGAACTTGGAGTGGCGAACCGCATAAGGTCCCGCTAGGTTAGGCTTGGTAGTGAACAGAACGACAGCAAAACTGCCTACCATCAAAGTTGCGTCATGGTGGCGGGGCTCGAAACTCAGACCGTGGGGTCCAAAGCACGTCGGTGACAGTGATTTAACGACTGCGCCACCACCACCCAAAGGGACGTGGGGCTCGAACCCACGACTCTGGGATTGAGAGTCCCATGCTCTACCGACTAAGTTGGGCGGGCACTTCATGTTATCACATCATGGCAATTAAACTTGCAATCCGTGTTTAGTTGGTTGTCATTGATTGTGTGCGCAACACTTCACTCATTTTGATGCTCCAAATCTACTGAATGTTTGATCAACAAATCTCACTTCAGAGGTACGTGGGTCGCCCTAGCAGTTCAGCCAATAGCCATGCACTAATGACATCGTTTTTGAATTATTTGAGATCAGAATTTTGCATAACTATATGTAATTGTTCCCCCGAATCATGGCTTATCTGTCACACCAAAATAAGAAACGTAGGGACGGTTCCAGAAAGCGATCACAGCGAAAATAAGATGACTGAGTGTAAATTTATCTGTACAACTAGTGCAAAACTTTGCACTTGAATCCATCTTGGAATCTTCATCGTAAGTCGAAAATGTATGACTTAACCTAGTTCCATAGGGGCCAAAAAAATACGGAAAATAATTCGCAATGAATTCCTTTCTGATTAAGTAACGTGTCACTGAAAGTTTGCTTCTTGTCCTATCTTACACAACATGTGCATCGGTAGCTTCCTTTTTTCTAACGCACCGCCGTGTGACGAACACTAGAAGAGATAAACCGCTTCGTCACGTAGATCTACCATTCACTTGTGCTAGCCGGTATCTAAGCCCTGGGAGATACGGCCCCACGGGATTAAACTTAGTGCTTAACCGCACCATCTCTGGAAAGGTGGCAACTTATCCTCGTCTTACAAGCTTTTTTTTTCTAATTTTCGACCGTTCATTCAAACAATGATCACCCAAGCGCAGCAAACAAAATTGGTCGATCTGGACGTGGTTCACTTTATCGGGCACGGAAGCGTGACATCATTTTTTTATCATGTATACTGACCTAAACTTGGGTGTGCTATCAATGCTTCACGGAACCCGTCTGAATGTTCACTGCTCGCCCGACGCGGTTGTGTTCGCCACTGAATTATGCACGGGAACTGCAATCTAGTAGGGGCAGGGTGGATTACAACGTTTAACCAATTTTATCATGCGTACACGAGGAGGGGATTCAAAACGGCCATAAAGTCATGTTGATTCTACTCCTTCCTATTCGATGAAACTAGCGACTGCATTCGATGTCTGGTTCTACGCATTTTGTGAGGTATGAAGGTAACACGTTTCGAAGTTTTTCAATAGGAGACTTTGTTTAATAGTCGTTCCTTACCTCTATCGAATTTGGCTCGTCTTCTAGCCGTTTCTCGTCAGATGTCTCCAAAATCCAATCGACTATCTAAAATGAAATCAGAAAGAAGGAGAGAGAGAGAGAGCTTCGAGCCAGATGACAACAACTGGTCGGTGACTGTTCGGTAAAGGTTACGGATAACCCGAAAACCCATTTTTAACCCCGTGTTACATCTCATGCATACGTGACTTCCCAAATCAGGTTGCACTGTGATAAAACAAACTCTCCATTCTCATCAATTAATATTAATTAATTAATTAATATTTTATCTGTTTTGTAGAACGGGCAGGATGTACCACCAACGATACAGTTCGCGGTCGAGCGGGAATCGGGTAGGAAACCGAACACCGATACTCCACGAATTCCGCTACCCGATTCCGTGCTCGGCTATTTCCCATCCGATGCCGTTCGCATGCCTCTATTGGGGTTCTTAAAAGAGTAAGTCAGCACAACCAATCGATAACCCTATCCATTTTTGCTTCTGAAACACTGAACACTGGAACGACATAGTAAACAGTGGATCCTTGTAATGATATAAGCGACTTCCATCTCACGAAGAAGCAGGGTGAAAACGTCTGATATTTGGTCACAACCAGTTAGTGGTAGTCAGTGACCAGCTGTGCGCCGGATTTGAACTGAACACGAGATAATCGAGTTTATCACAACAGTCTTCACATAAAAAGATAGCGATTAATCAATACGGATTCACCCGAAACCATGTTAGAAAATGATGGACGCAGAGGTAGTTTTAATTAAACCGGATCAGGCAAAACTGAGTTAGGGAACACATGCAATCATGACTGTTATATTGGAATACTGAAGGAAGAGGTTCAGTTCAGTTTTTACAACCATTATGCAATTTCATTCGCCGGTTTTGGTTGCAGCCCATTTGAACGAAGGAGTAAAAAAGACTGGAACGTTCTTAGGTGAAAACAGGGAATTCATGAACACTGTGGGTGCAATGAAATGAAGATGCACGAGCGCCAATGTTTGCGACACTCAACCACATTGCTCAGTGTCTCTGATCATCGATTACAATGATCCTGATGCCTCTATCCAGGAAGCCTAACGCGACCTATATGAGCAAGTCTCCTGGTTAGGTTTTTCATACACTCATACCAAGTCCTAGTTTATCCACCCTTTACTGTTTTCCATCCGTCATTTGCCTCGGCAAACAGCACGCATCGCGGTATGATGTGCGTAGCACATGCCCCACAAGCGTAATCTGTGGAGGTCTACCACTTGCTCCAGTGGACGACCGCGATTACCTAGAACTCTAGGCCTAACCTCAGCATTGCTCGTCAGGCTCCCTCACCAGACTCGTGCAATACGACGCAGACAGCGGTGTTCGAACACCGACATTTTATCTTTATCTTGTTTTCTTAATGGCTAAGCCTATGCCCCGTATAGCAGTACTGGCTGAACCACTGCAGCATATACTTGATCCTTCAGACAGCCAGATGCCGTGACGGTGCCAAAAATGCATAAGCTAATCGAGCCTTCCGTATGCAAGTCGACACTTCCTCTGTAATGCGTCCGCCGGGGGAGATGTAATTTACCAAACAGCAAAATTTGTTCACTATTTCCCCATTTAAGGTGAGATTCGAAGCTGGAACAACCCATTCTCGTAGCAGCATTCTACACTCAACGATGCAAAACCCTTTCCGAACATGACTACGTTAACACTCAAACTATCCAGAA